GTATTTTTTAAAAAATATTTTTTATTTTTTAAAAAATATTTTTGATATTAATATATTTAAATAATCTAAAAATATAAAAAAAATAATTTAAAATAAATAAATAAAATTTAAATTTTGTAAAAAAACACTTCCAAATTGCAATGCTAAACACACCTTTAAAAAGATTTTGCCAATCAATTTTAGCTTCCCATTAACAATTAAAAAAAAAATTTAGCATTGACCAAATTAAGAAGCCCCACCTTAATATTTAATCACATTTCAAACATGGGATTTTATAATTAAAAAAAAAAAGAAATGGAAGAACCAGTCATTAGTAATTCCAGCAATGAATTATTGGGTATCTTTTGACTTCAAATATTGCCTTGGAGAGATATCCTCGCCTTAATTTGGCATGAGAAAACTGCTTGGAAGTGGCCAGGATCAGCATGACAAAATGCTCTGTAGTTTCATTGGGTCAATTTCTCATCCATGCATTGTATAGCTTTCATTCTTGGGTGTTTTTGCCACTAAATAGAGTACCTTTGTAAAATTTGTATTTTAGTATTCATTATTGTCATAATTGGACCATACATTATTTGGAATCATGATGGGCTAAACGACAAAGAGATGAATCAGTCACCTCATTAGACAATTAATAATGCAACATGGTGCTCGCCCTAGCTGGGAATCACAATAATGCATCCTGCGTTCCATCTCTAATTGTTTTTTTTTTTTTTTCAAAAACATAGGTTTTTTTAATCTTTTTCTCACTCGAATGTGAACCGTCCTTGTGTTGCCTCCATCTTGTTTTGATGTCAACATTGTATGAGACATTGTTTCAAGCCTTAATTCCTCCATTTGCCGATGAAGTGGCCTCGTCACATGAAGAGAATTCTGGCTCACATAGGATATTGAAAGCATGGATATGAGAGATGGAATCTTAATTATGAGCTCTAAGTATTTTGTTAAAATGGGTAGCAAAGCTAACCCAAATTTTCATTTTTTTTTATTTTATTTTTAGTGCTATTCTACATTTTTTTTATGATTTTGTGATGGAAGAATGACATGAATGATTAGGGGTGGAAACTATATTTTATTGAGGGAGCCATTCTGTTTGTTTTTAAATTTTAAAAAATTAATTTTTTATTTTTATTACTTCAAATTAATATATTTTTAATATTTTTAGGCTATTTTGATGTGTTGATTTTAAAAATAATTTTTAAAAAATAAAAAAAATATTTTGATATAATTCTAAATAAAAAATATTTTGAAAAGTAATCTATTTTAAAAAGTAATCGCAGTAATACTTTCAAATTAATCTTTATTTTAATGTGACTTTTGAATATTTAGCTTTTTGTAATAATTAAGTATTTTAACTTTTAAATAATAATATATTTTATCCATATATAATCTTTCCTAGTTTTCTCATTAATTTTAAAAATCATTCTAGCAGTTTATTTTTTTTGACACCCGTCTTACGAAAATTCATTTTCTTACTGTAAATGACTATCATATATAAAATATATTTTTTAAGAAAGGCTAGCACGTATCTTGCCTATCAATCTTATTAATGAAAGAATGTCTAATTAAACATATTTATTAATGATCTTTTATGTATATTAATGATCAGCCAGAGCTAGTTCCTCTTCAAAAACTTATGAAGGGAGCAAGAATATTGGTGTAGATATAGAGTGGGATCACATGGGTGACAAAATGAGCTTCACTATTAAAATGTCAAAGAGGACAATAAGACATAGAATCGAATTGGTTGAAAAGAATCAAGAAGACGACACAATGTACTCATGCTCATTATTTGAATATGACATTATTCTATGTCAACATCAAACCAGCAACTCAGCTTTTGTGGTGGTGGGGGGTTGTCATACTATTTAATTTCTCTTACTATATGGAAAGCTTGGTGTATGGTTGAACACAAACCCTACTTTTCTTAAAATGACAGAAGCAGCGATCGAAAAAAGGAAGAGCATTAGGGATTCCAAAAGGAAAAATCATCGTGGATGTTGCATACATGATGTGTTTTGGTTCATGTGGATGTTGACCTAATACTTTGAACCTCTGAATCGAATCCTTTTTTTTTTTTTTTTTTTGAGAATTCACCATTGAATCATTCCTAAGGACTCGGATCAGTTTTGCTTTCTGAGTTTGGTGGTGGATCAGTGATGATGCATCGTGCTTTAGAACAATTATGACTTGGTAGGGCCCATATCGATATAATTACGTGCTGAAAGTGGACATGAACTCGTGTGAAAATGAAGGCCGAAATTAATCTTCATGTCTTATTATCTAATCCTTTTCAACTCTCAACTCATTCTGATGGTCGATTGTTTCTGTGAAGCTGGAAAACTTACGAAGATAATAAACTTAAAATATAATTGCATTTGTGGATTCGGCGATCATTCAATTACATACAAAACTTCTCCGAGATTCCCACACATATATATAGAAGACGGTAGTTTCATTTCTTCAGAGCGTGTGTGTGTGTGTGTGTGTGTGTGTATCCGCCGTGTCTGTGATCAGGATGAAACAAATTCAGTTCATCGATCACTGTAAATTACATGGCAGATAAATAATCTATCTGCTCTCGTCACTTGAACCTAGATATTCACACATGTTCTTGACGATCATTTGCACCCTACCTACTTCTCATTAGATGATCATATAAAAGAGTTTTAGCAGGGGCTAATGGGCTCCATAGGTAGTGTACTTGATACATGAGGTTTTTATTTTTTCTTAGTTATTTTTATTTTTTTTTCATTTAATTTAAGAAAATTAAATATTATACTTCAAATTTTTGTCTTTTCTATATTGTTTAGGACTTTTCTTATTATTATTTTTTATTTTTAGGTTTATTTAATTTATTTAGATTATTTTTTTGTAAACTTTTTAAAGAGATTAAATAAAAGTTATATTTAATAATAAAATTATAAATTAAGGTTTTAAATGAAAACCTTATTTGACTTTAATTATATTTTTTCAATTTTATATTTTTTTGTTTGTGTTTTCATCTATATTAATTCGCATTAAAGATCTACAATTATTGATGGTTAGTTGTTTCATCTTGTTAAATACTTATGGCTAAAATGGCTAAAATAAATGGTTACAAAAAAAGACATGCTTTATAAAAGAGAATGAGATTTTCTCCATGAAAGCAATGTTTATGAACCATGATAAAAAAATATGTGGAGATAAATTATAAAATTAATACACTGATTAAAGATAATAAACATATACAAACAAGTTGAAAAGTTATTCTATCAATTAGTAAAGTTAAAAAAAAAATCAGAGAATCATAAAAAGAGTGATCATAAATAGATTCATAACTAATTTTAAAAATTCATTTATGAAGTATAACCAAATGAGATAACTTTTTAATTATGATAAGTATCATTGAGATTTTGATAGTCCTATTTATGATGAAATATATGTAATTTGATATTCTCCATCAATCTATAATATTTATTTTGATGATAATTATGTTAATAATAATAGAAAAAATAATAACAGTAACAATAAAAATGATGTCATCAATGATGTTTTTATTGATAATTTAGAGATTATGTGTAGAAAGAACATATAAAGTACTCAAAAGAAGAAAAATATTAATTTAGATTGTATTATTTCTTTTTATTAGAAGTTTACAATAATCATTAAGATAAATTTATTTAAGGGCTATATAGAGACCAAACATAGTAATGCAAGAAGTCTAAGGTTTTCAATTTTTTATTTTATAAACTAATGGAAGAGAAATCACTAGTCATTTGATGTTTTTATGCAAAATTTAATATGAATAAATTGAAATTGATATAAAAAACTGTTATATATCCTAAATGAAGAAAGAAAAGGGTTTGTAAAATATTGATTGAACATCCGATCAAAACAAAAATAATTTAAACTTGAGAGTGATTTTTTTTATCCTAGAAAGACCGATGCATGAGATATTTAAGGAAAATATATTTTTCCTTAATTTTTTTTATTTTTTTATTTAGTTTATGAGATATTTAAGGAAAATTTATTTTTCCTTAGTTATTTTTATTTTTTTCTATTTAGTTTATGAATTAAATATTATACTTAATAATTTTATTTTTTCTAGTTTGTTTAGGATTTTTTTATATTTTTTTATTTTCAGGTTACTTAGTTTATTTAGGTTGAATTTTAGGTTTATTAAGGAGTTTTTAAACTTTTTAAAGAGGGACTACTTGAAAAATAAAATTACAATAATAAAATCGTGAATTAATTTTTGATAACTATCACATCCTATTTTATTTTTCTAGCCTGCTATCTTTATAGTTTGTTTTAACGTTTGCACTATACTCCGAAGTATGAGTTTCTATTCTAAAATGATAATGATAAGTTGATCAAATCTCATTGTTAAAAAAAAAAACAAACTAATAAAAAGTTAAACACAGTCAGTTTCCACTAACACGATTACGAGATCAAAATGTTTGGTAAAGGAAATTAAACTATACATTAAATTTTGGGATTACCCAAGACCATGCAAATCACCAACGACTAAAAATTACCACATAGATTTGTGAGAAAGTCTAGCACTAGTTATGCAAATCGACCTTTCAATTCTTATCCATGCGTTTCCCTTTCTTATCATCACCAGCATTCATACATGGGCCATATAAGGTTTAATAAAAAGGCATCGTTTTACCCTTTTTAATCCACCTGCCTCCATTAATTTTCGTAATTCTTGCACGAAAATGGATGAATTTAAGTTTTACATACCAAAAGTGTAACGTAGAAATTGAATGGCAAATAAAGTTTTCCTTTTTTTGTACTGATATTTATGTGGGATTCTTCAGAGAATTATATTGCCATAGAAAAACTCCTAACAATTTCAGACACGGCAAATAAAAAAAAAACTTAGTCAAAGGGTAATGGGTATCCAAGTAATTTGGCTACAAAGTAATTCTATTGCATGATAACGTGCCATCAGTGCTAGTTTCTAGTGAGGGCATCACATGAATGATGCCTATAAATATTGCAACTCCAAACTTAATTACACATGCATATCATAAACTCCCAATCCCATTAAGGTTTGTTAAGGCATCCACAATCACTAGGTCGAGTGGGTGAAGATGGCAAAAATTGCCTTGGGATCTCGTCATGAGGCTGCTCAGCCTGACTGCCTCAAAGCCCTTGTAGTCGAGTTCGTTACCACCTTCCTCTTTGTTTTTGCTGGTGTTGGATCTGCCATGGCTGCTGGTACTTTCACTTAAATTTATGCCCCAACTCTCGTATTATTTCTTTCTTAATCTTCGTTGATAATCAAAGCCAGGATTTCAAATATAATGAAGGATTTTATGTTGTGTACTTTCTGTGAACAGATAAGCTAACAGGAGATGCTCTACTGGGCTTGTTTGTTGTGGCTGTGGCACATGCACTTGTTGTGGCGGTGATGATATCTGCTGGCCACATTTCCGGTGGTCATCTCAACCCAGCAGTGACTATTGGCCTTCTTTTTGGTGGTCATATTACTGTTGTCCGATCCATCCTCTACTGGATTGACCAATTGTTGGCATCTACAGCTGCTTGTCTCCTCCTCAAGTATCTCACCGGAGGATTGGTAAGGCAATTGGCTTGAGCCATAGACCTTAGGGATAACACATGTATGTTTTATAACATGTGCATATAATCATATATATGGCTGTTAAACCAGTTTGACTTAACAATTGACTTGAGAATTTATCAATTTAGGATCTAGATTGGTTCAGGTTAAAAAAAAATAATTAATTCACTCTATTAAAACCTGAATATTATTATGTCAAAATCCAAACCTTAACCTGCTAATTTTTTCTAGAAGTTTTATTGATCAAAACAATGCTATTCTGATAATTTTATTTTTTAAGGCCAACCCTCCAAATAAGCCTTGCCCCGTGCACTTAAGTTCAGTACGAATAGTGATATAATCCGTACAAAATCTGGAAAAATTGAAAAAACTTTGGATATATATATGTGTGTGTGTGTGTGTGAGAGTTGATTTCAGTTCTTTTCCCAGCAAAGTTGAGCTATACAATGAACTTTGTTCCTTTTGATTCTAGTCCTATCATGTGTAAACATATATATTTCAGTTCTTTTCCCAGCAAAGTTGAGCTATACAATGAACTTTGTTCCTTTTGATTCTAGTCCTAACATGTTTTAAAAATTAATTGTTGTGGCGTGTTTTTCAATCATTGTACTAGTATGGGAGCTTGCTGTCCCCTACCCCATATTTGTTTTTATATTTTTTGCTACTTTTTTTCTAATAATTAATTCACTACTGTTGGGTTTCTATTTTGTTTTTTGGCAGGCTACTCCAGTACATACACTTGCAAGTGGGATGGACTACCTTCAAGGAATAGTATGGGAGAGTGTACTGACTTTCTCCTTGCTGTTCACAGTCTATGCCACCATTGTCGACCCCAAGAAGGGATCCATTGATGGGCTAGGTCCAATGCTGACTGGATTTGTAGTAGGAGCCAACATCTTGGCTGGTGGTGCATTCTCTGGAGCATCAATGAACCCAGCACGATCATTTGGACCTGCTTTGGTTAGCTGGGACTGGACAGACCACTGGGTTTACTGGGTTGGACCCCTTATTGGTGGTGGACTCGCTGGGTTCATCTATGAAAATTTCTTCATCACAAGATCTCATCGTCCTCTTCCCAGCGAAGAAGAGCCTTTCTAAATCTCAAATTACCAAGTGATGATGGATATGGTGTCCCCTCTCTTTTATCAATGTTTTAAGTTTCTATATGTGGACTATGCGCCCTGTGATGCTACTGTGGTACTAATTTACTTCATGCATCTTAGTCTCTTTGTTTAGTTTTGTCAATTTTGTGAATTAATTAATCAATGATCGTAAGTGCTTGATTTTGTTATGTTATTAATTCTTAATATTTTTCCTTCTTCAATAATATTCGTAAGCAAGCAAGTAATTTCATTAAATAACCTGATAATTTTTTTTTTAAGAGTGTGTGAGCAGTGTTATTCAGTCAAATCCAGTTTAGTAAGTCGATTTAAGTCAAACCAAGTTTTAAAATCAATCAAGTAAAAACAAATATTAATTTTTAAAAAATTAAAATAATATTATTTTATTTAATTGAGGTAACATTAAGTTATATAAATTACTATAGGAGTTTAATAATTTGAGGCATAAAAACTATGGAATTAAGGGTGAGAAAAGCATCTAGTGACTTGTTAACCTGATTATAAATATTTTATAGAAAGATATACTAACTTTACATTTTTATTTTATTCTGCAAAACGCGTGCTTGTGTATATACGGGCAAAAAATCATTTTCAGCCCCTGTAAATTTCTATCTACGGCTACGTAATTTTTAAATCTCCTAATGTTATCACTTACATTCCAAAACAATACAACGCTATCACTGACCAATAAATAGAATACATTTCAAATTTTGATTTTTAATTTTTATAGTATTATATTCACTGTTACTAAACCCTGACCTGATAGGTTAATCTAATAGTTGGACCGATTCAGTCTTGTGAAAAAATTAGATGGTGCAACAACCCGACAAAACTTGCAGACTGACCTGATAGGTTAATCTAATGGTTGGACCGATTCAATCTTGTGAAAAAACTAGATGGTGCAACAACCCGACAAAACTTGGACGTCGACCTAGCGGGTCAATCCATGACTCAGATAAACCTGGATAAAACGCAATGTTTTTTTTTTTAAATGTGGTTTTTTTTCCAATATTTTTTTTTATATTTTTTTAGTTGGTTATTAATATTTTTTAAAGTTTATTATATAAATATTAAAAAAATAATTTATTTTTTCATGTGGAATTTGAAACTTTTTAATATATATATTTTATATTCACAAGAAAAAAGTTATGTTTTTTTAATGTAAAATTTAAAGTCTTTTCGTATATATATTCTATGCTTACAAAAAAAAATTATATTTTTTAATATGGTATAAAAAACTTTTTGATTTAAATATTTTAACTTAAAATAATAACATAATATTTTTTCAAGATCTGAAATCCTTTCATATATATACTCTATATTCACAAGAGAAAAGTTAGAATTTTTCAATATGAAATTTAAAACCCTTTGATATCTATACTTCATGTTTCCAAAAAAAAAATTATTTTTTTAATGTGAAATTTAAAACCTTTTCATATAAATACTCTATGTTCATAAGAAAAAAAAATTATATTTTTTTCAATCTATGATAAAAAATATTTTGGTTTAAATATATCAATTTAAAATGATAATATAGTATCTTTTTCAATGTGGGATTTGAAACCCTTTAATATGTATACTCTATATTCCCAAGAAAAAGTTGTTTTTTTAATGTGGGATTTAAAATGTTTTTGTATATATATTATATATTTACATGAAAAAATTATATTTTTTTAATGTGGGATAAAAAGGTTTTTGAAATATTTTTTTAAAATTTATTATTTGCAACATGTATAGTATATATTCAAATGATTTTTTTCTTAATTTTTTAATATAAAATATTAGAAATTTATATATATATATATATATATATATATATAATTTTCCGAGTTGATTTGAATTGATTCAAGTTGACCCATAAAACACGAAACTCAATCCTTGGCTGAGTCTGGGGTTAAGTCTGATAATTATGATTCTATTCCCTATTATATTATTTTTGAATTATACACGCGACAAGGTATGGTAATTTTCAATAAATCATTATTTTTATTTTAAAATATAAAAAAAATATAATTTTTAATGGTATTAAAATAAAAATTAGCAGCACAGATTGAATATATACAGAAACTCTGGATCTAATTATCCTTAAAAAAAAATTATATATGAGCATATATAATTATAACTTGAAATTTTTTTCTTATAATGTTCGTTCTGAATAAAGTTCAGTACCTTTACTTGAAACAATAAAGTTTAATTATTTATTATGATGCAGGTTGACAGACTTTTCAAGTAAAATAAAAGGAAATATTTTGGGTTTTAATTTTATGATATGTTAATTTGATTATATGATCAAATTAGAAATGACCGCATAAATTGAAAAGTGTAGAGAAGAAAAATAGATGCCGGATACTAATATTCAAGTTTTAATATTATGAAATTTCAAATGTATTTTTTGATTAAATTACTATTATTATTTAATTTTTTTATTTAAAATAGTACTTTGTTCAAATAATTAAATCTATTCATATTACATGAATAAACAAAGTATATAAATGTGAATAAAATTTTTATTCATGTTCTTATTAAATTTTAATTTTGAAAGAGTTTATTTCAATATTAAAATAGGTTGACAAAAAGAATAACACATACGAATATATATATATATATATATATAAAACAAAGAATTAAATTTATCAAAAAATCATTGTAATCTAAGAACCTCAAGAATGTTTTTTTTTTTTAAAAAAAAAACTCTAGCACATTTCTTTATTAAAAAAAAAAAACTCTAGCACATTTCTTTATATAAAAACTATTTAAGCTTTGAACTTGTAATGTTGACCTGTGATTAATTTATATCAAAATTTTTAATTTAATTAAAAATAATAAAAATGATTGAAAATCTCTCATATTATATTAAAAAGAAAACACGTATCTCAATCCAAAATTTTAATAACTATGAATGATGTCTTAAAACAATATTTACATTAACTATTATGACTTAATATAATAAATTTATGTGATTTTATTATTTTCTGATTTTAGCATTTTTTTTTTATTGATTTGGTTTTTTTAGCACTTTTATTGTTATGTTATTCAAAATGAAGTATAGATGAGGTAAGATATGTGTTCTAATATTTTTTTAGAATTCTTATTTTATATTATTAAGGATTTTATTTTATTCAGAAATATAAAATTAATAAAAATATAGGAATAAACAATTTTTTAAAATTAATATTTTCTTAAAAAAAATTCATCAATGTTGGTATTTTCTTTAAATAGAGATGAGGTTGGATTTAAAGAATATAAATCGAAGATAATCATAAAATCAATATTTAGAAGGAACAAAAACTGATATAAAAAGATAAGATCATACCAAGTTGAGTCTCACACAAAAACGCATGGTGATTTATGCGTGATTAGCATATTCCAATAGCTTTTTTATTAAAAAAATTAAAAAAAAATCAATGTGAAAATAACAAAATGATCCCAGGATTTTGATAATTACCTAAAAACCTATATGAAAGTGTAAAAATATCCCTAAATGCAAACATTATTTTTTTTGTTCTTTTTAAGATTAAATATGTATTTTAATTATATTACAAGATGTGAAAAACTAAAAAAATACCTTTTTCCTACATCCCAATATTTTTTTATTTATTATGGGATTAAAAAAGTATTTTTATTACTTAAAAGTTTATGAAAAATAAAAAAAACCATTAGTGAGCAACTCTAAATTTTATTGACCTAGAGGTAAAAATATATTTTTACTATTTAAAAAATATATAAAAAAACTTATATACATCCATACAATCTTTTAATGACAATAATCTAGTGAAAAAGGACGAAAGCACCCTAATAACGAAGGCTTCTTTTTATTTGTTTTTTCACTCAATAGCAAAATACTTTTTTTTTTTTAATAATGTACACTAATTTGTGTTTACTATTACAATGAAATTAATATTCCCTATATTTTTTTTTGTTATATGTATATTAACACACACACAAAAACTAAATTACATAGATGTTTTATTATAGTTCAATCCATAGTAAAATATATCTTAAGTTACGGTAAAATTACTATTTTATCATTAACTATTTTATTTATAAGACTTTGCTTGAGAGGTAAAATGGTTTTTATACACAATTAATTTATTATTATTTATTTATTTGAAGGCAACAATGTCTTTTTAATTTTACAAAGTACAATTACCTTATTGCCTTTAAAAAGTTAACAATATAAGCCTTTGATACAGGAACCTTATAGGATGAATGTCTTATTTTATCAGTTTGTTTCTTAGTTACTGCTAGTAATTTTATTTATTTATATATATAAATAATTATCAATTTATTTAATTAAATAATTATATATACCTTTTAATTTACACTTTAATTTTTTCATGTTAAAAAAACACTTTGAAACAACTTGCATATCTAATATTTTTTTTAAAAAAAATTATAACTCATAACGAAGCACAAATTAAATTCTATCTAGTGTGCGTGCATGTAACGACAAAACTAAGGGTAGGCAAGCAGGGCCGAGTCCTGCAAAATATTTTAAATATTTTTATTATTTAGTATTTAAATATAACAAGTAATATTTTTTTATTTTGAATAATTAAACTTTTTAAAAACAAATTATTATTTTATTAATTATTTTTTACTTTAAAACTATCTTTTCATGAAAGTTGAAAAAAAAAGACAAATAACCTTTTTCATTTTATTATCTTTCTTTGGTGTTTTTCTTTTTCTTTCTCTAGAGTCTTAACCAAAAAATATAATAATGCAAAAATATTAAAGCAAACTTATCAATTAATTTATTGTTCATGAAAACAAGATAAATAGTAACCCAAATTTTAAATCATTTTTTTATATTTATTAATAATTTGATGGGTTTTTTTTCTTGTTCTACTAGTTTTATTAATTTTTTTATTTTTTATTACAGTCGTCTTTTTTCTAATTAATTGGATACCCCCCCAAAAAAAAAAAAAACTGGAAAAAGAGAAATCAAATGCATGCCCAAAAACAGCTGTGGCTACAGAGAAAACAGCACATCAACTGAGTATAATATATATGAGAGGACACATGGTTACCAAGAAATGATAATGCAAGCATTAATATAGATGAGCGAGCTGTCGCAAATTGCACAATACAGGTGAATTTGATGGCTCAACAATTTGCAGACATCCACATCCATCTACAGGACCTCATAAAATTTGTTTTTAGTTGGTCTGTTCTGTTG